GTGTGAGCAGGGTGGGTGAGCAGGGTGAGTGTGAGCAGGGAGACTGAGCAGGGTGGGTATGAGCAGGGTGAGCACCAGGAAGGCAGTGTGAGTGCAGGCAGAATGGGTGGCAGGCAGGTGCTGTTTTCTTTGCTGGCAGAGTCCTGGTGTGGCTTTGCTTGGCAGATGGAAGGAAACCATCACCCACTCAGGAGTACCGRTGGGGTCTGGCCTTTGAAGGGGACAGTGCAGTCTGGGCTGTGAGTCAGGAGTCTTGGAGCTGTGGGGGTGACTTTGAGGGGCACCCTAGGGTGTGGGAGGGCAGCCTCAGGCCTTCCCCAACCCCCAGAAGGGAAGTGGGGCAGTTGCTCAATCCCAGTTAATAAACTGGTGTGGTGGTTCCTCCTGCCTTCTGCTTGCAGCTTCTCCTTCRCAATGGGAACTGCCAGGCTAAGAGAGGGAATCCCATGGCACACTGTAGGAGAGGGGTTTTCTCACCCCTCGGAGGCTGTCAGGGCTGAGAAACCCTGACACGGAGGACACTTGTGATAAGCTGGCTGGTCTGATGGGTGCCCAGGTGACAGGAGCTGGTGGCAGGGCTGGGGAGGAGACAAGGCCAGCACTGTGCCTCCTGTCCCTCTGCTGGTTTGGCAGTGTCAGCCCTGCCTGCACGTCTCATGGCATGGATTCCTGGAGCTGGCACCGTGTGCCACTTCCCTGCCATGAATCTGTTATTTGACCTTGGACTTTTCGAAGCTCCATGAACTCCTGGCTGTGCAGCCGGGGAGCCACACCTGCGCTGGGGCCGGTGGCGGGCTGTGGGGAACACACACATGAGGTCTGTGCCTCACTGCTTCTAAGCTGTGACTTGCTTGGTTTCCTGTCAGTGAGAAGAATGGGCTCCATGTCAGAGGAGCTCAGCTTGGTCCCCTTGCACCAGAGGCCGGAGCTGCTGGAAGCCTGTGCCGAGCTGCTGGGCGAGGAGTGGGGGAAGAGCCGGGCGTCGCGGCTCCACGCGCTCCAGCGCTCCTCGGACACCTTTCCTGCCTGCCTGCTGCTGCTGCGGAGCCGGGGCCCCAGCGAGACCCCCGCTGCCCGGGAGGGGCCCTGCCAGCTCGTRGGCCACGTCCGGCTGTCCCGCGTGGTGGGCCGTCCCCATGACCTCTTTGTGGAGAGCGTGGTGGTGGCCCGGGCGCTGCGGGGCCAGGGCTATGGGCGGCGGCTGATGGAGGCCACCGAGCGGTGGGCCCGGGCCCGGGGCTTCAGCTGCCTGCACCTCACCACCCACGACAAGCAGCATTTCTATGCCCACCTGGGCTTTGTCCTGGGTGAGCCGGTGCAGAACGTGGCCTTTCTCAGCCCTGCTATATCCTCCGAGGTGCTGCGTCTCTTCTCTGCCCCTTCTGGGGCTGCCACTGCCACTGCCACTGCCACCACCGCCAGGCCACGGGTACCCGCTGCGCCCCCGCCTCCCCTCCCGCCCATTACTGTCCCCCCACCACCTCCCCCACCGACTGTGATCTGGGCGAGGGGTGTCCTGGCTGAGAGCAGCGAGCAGAGCCTCCTGAAAACCCCACACCGTGATGCCAAAGGGCTCCCCATCTTCTGGATGAAGAAGGACATCTGAGGGGCTGGGGCCCCGAGCCAGYGATTAAAAGCAGTGCGGGTGGGAGCTGCCCGCCGCAGCACTGCCTGCCTGCCTGCCATTCTTCAGGGCTGGCACCAGCTGTCCCAGCCTCCCTGGTTCACCCTGGCCACATTGCGGGGTAGGGGTGCTGGGAGGGAGGTGGTGCCCGTACCCTGCTCTCCCTGGGCAGCCCCCAGCTCACCTGGATGGGGCTCTGGAACCACCAGCATGGTGGGGAGCCAGGCCCACCCCAGGCTGTGGGGTTGGCACTAGTCCCCAGGGGCACTGCCTATCCCACCAGTGTCTCCTCCACTCGGGATTGGGTGTGTGGGGGCTGACGGCAAGTGGTGGCCACCAGCATGGCCACAGCTGAGCAGCCTGGGGAAACTGAGGCAYGGCATGGCTGGAGGGGCACCGGGGSWGCAGRMCATGGTGGTGGGGTGCAGGRTCGGCTCCCCTGCACTGCACGGTGAGGGGGGCAGGTGGCCAAACCCCCCCTAAGGCAGCCGGCGTCAGCGAGGGCCAGAGGCATGRGAGGGGAAGGTCAGGGAGAGTGTCCGGCCTTGCAGCGAGGGATTAGCGCTGCCCTTGCTGCATCACGCGGCCCTGGGCCCATTCCCCGCCTAATCCCCTCATTCTGGGCAGCTGGCCAGCACCGGGCAGGGGCACCAGCCCCCTCTGGCCCTGTCTGCGCTGTAAGGAGCAGAGCTGCCCCTTTGGCCCCACAATGCCTCTCGGGGCRCTCAGTCCTTCAGGTCACCCAGCCTGCCTAGGCACTGTGCTAAAGGGAGATCAAGGAGTCAGCAGGGAAACTGAGGCACCAGTGGCTTGCAGCCACTCCAGAGCTGTGCCGTGGCTGTAGTGGTGCAAACAGGAACTCACACCAGAGAGCAGCAGGCAGAGGTACCCAGGGCCAGTGCTGAGGCAAGAGGGGTCTGAAGTGCCCAAATGTATCAAGTGCTGGCAGGATTTAGGGTGGGCAGCACGTGCCTGCAGGGCAACCCAGGCCCTGTGGCCAGTCCCAGCCCGCCATGTGTCAGGGTGGCAGCGCCTGCATTGCTGGGTGCTCGCTGCATSCCACAGGCTCACCCCCATGGCTCTCCTTTCCCTGCAGGGTGCCGGGTGAGGCGGGATGGTGCCGGTGCTGGTGCTGTGGGCCTGCCTGGCACTGGGCACAGCCCGTGAGGAGASCCACGCACCCGAGCCCCTGGCAGGCGGCCAGCCTTTTGCCGTGGTGTGGAACATCCCCACCGGCCGCTGCCAGCACCGCTTCGGCGTGGGGCTGCCCCTCGGTGACTACGGCATCGTGGAGAACCAGGGCGGCGACTTTGCCGGTCAGAACATCACCATCTTCTACAAGAACAAGTTTGGGCTGTACCCTTACCTGTCAGAGCAGGGTGTCCCCCACAACGGGGGCATCCCCCAGYGCGTCCCCCTCAGCGCCCACCTGGACAGGGTGGCCGAGGACATCCGCCTCCTCCTGCGACCTGCTTTCCATGGCTTGGCCGTGGTGGACTGGGAGGAGTGGAGGCCCCTTTGGGCCCAAAACTGGGGGCCCAAGAGGATGTACCGGGCAGCCTCGGAGCAGTGGGTGCGGGACCAGCACGGCATCCTGCCGGCACGGCAGCAGCTCCAGCTGGCCCAGTCGGAGTTTGAGCAGGCAGCACAGACTCTAATGGAGGAGACGCTTCTGGCGGGCCGAACCCTGCGCCCCGCGGGGCTCTGGGGTTTCTACCGCTTTCCCGACTGCCTCAACGGCAACTGGGCCAAGGTGGCCAACTACAGCGGGCAGTGCCAGCCGGCGGAGGTGCAGCGTAACAACCTCCTGGGCTGGCTGTGGGCCGCCTCTTCTGCCCTGTACCCCAGCATCTACCTGCCGCTGGCACTGCCGCCCGCGCTGCGCCRCCGCTACGTGCACCACCGGCTGCGTGAGGCCCTGCGCGTGGCCGCCTTCGGGACCGACGGCCTCCTGCCCGTGATCGCCTACTCGCGCCTCTCCTTCCGCCGCTCGCCCCGGTTCCTGGAGCTGGTAAGCGCTGTGGGGYGGGAGCTGGCTGCCGCTGTGTCGGGAGGTTCTGGTTGGCACAGGGACAGAGGCTGTGTCCCCCAGCCCGGTCACGTCTCTGTCGCCGGCAGGCTGACCTGGTGCACACCATCGGGGAGAGCGCGGCGCTGGGCGCGGCTGGACTCGTGCTCTGGGGAGACATGTCGTACTCCCGCTCGCCTGTGAGTATGGCTGCTCTGGAGGCTGTGGGCAGCATGGCATGTACGCGATGGCCACATGCCCTGTGCCCACAAAGGAGGTCAGAGGGTCGCCAGTACTGGGGTGGGCTCTCACGGRTACTTTCTCCCCAGGAAAGCTGTGCCAGCCTGCGCCACTACCTCGTGTCCACCCTGGGTCCCTACGTGGCCAAYGTGACGGCAGCAGCCCGAGAGTGCAGCTACAGACAGTGCCACGGGCACGGGCGCTGCGTGCGCCGGCAGCCCCACGACCTGGGCAGCCTCCTGCACCTTGGCCCCGGTGCTGGCCCCTCGGCCGCTTTCCGCTGCCACTGCTACCGTGGCTGGGCAGGCGAAAGCTGTGCCCGGCGGCTCTGGCTCAACCCTGTCCCCTCCTGCCAGGTGTCCACCCACCCTCACAGCCTCCATGGGCACAAGGACCTCCCATCCTCTGACACCTGCCTGCCACAGGGCACGTGGGGCTGGTGACCAAGGCTGGGGACCACCATGGTCCCCTACCCCAGCAGTGCTGCTGCGGGCATTTCCAATGGTCTCATTAACTTAAATAAATTGTCCTGGCACAGCTGGCGTGGTCCTTGTGGGCAAAGGTGGGGGGGCTCTGTGGTGCCTTTAGGCTGGACACAATTGCCATTGCTGCTGAGAGACAGCACAGACCCCAGTTTGGCTCTGGATGGGTCCAACAGCACCTCTGTTTTCCTGCATRAGCTCTGCCCTGACCTGGCATGGTGAGCTGGCAGCCCCATTATCCTGGGAAAGGGGGCATGGGGCACTGCCACAACTCGCTGTTCCTTTGCCACTGGCACTGTGCTGCCAGCAGCCCTGACCACGCCACCAGGCCCCCCTCCCCACAGCTATTTTTATCGCCCCCCAACCGTGTTTCTCACTGTCCTATTTTAAGCGGCGCAGTTGGCGCACCGGGAACCCAGTGCCCGGCTCCTGGGGGCCCTGCAGCACCTCAGTGCCCGCTCAGGCTGCACGGGCGCAGGGCACAGCGAGCCATGCCCAGGGAGGCTGCAGAAGGTACACTGGGGAGTGGGCTGGGGGCTGGCGGGAGCCTTGGCACCGCAGCGGGGACTGGGCAGTGCGGGGCTGCGGGGTTGGGATGGAAGCAGTGGACAGAGGGGGGCTGCCATGGGGGCTGTGGGCAGAGATGCCTGCCTGGGGAAGAAGGGGGTCCTGGAGGGCTGCAGGTGTACAGCAGCACCGTTTGGGGAGGGTGCAGACAGGTGATGGCACAGCCCCCTGCACCAAGCCTGTGTGACCAGCTGTGCCTCTCCAGCGGCGGGAAGTGGGTGCAGGGGTGATGTGGGTACCTATGGGGCAGCTCCTGGCCAAGGGGGGCCATGGGGAGGGTCTGAGGGGGCCCTGGGTACCAGCTGAGGCTCTGCAGCCCTGACGCCTGCCAGCCCCGTGGGTGACACACAGTCTGGACAGCAGCGGCATGGCGCCACGCTGCCCTGCRACACGCCACTGACCCCGGGAGGGATTGGGAGTGGGCACGGTGCCAGCCTGCCCTGCTCTGCCAAGGGCACAATGCGTGGGCCCTGCCCACTGCTCAAAAATACACAAACACCTAGAAAATAATCCTTTTCCTCTACCCCAGTTCAGGCATGATTGCTTCCCAAAACAGTGCTGCAGCTATGCCTACTTCCAAAAAGCCCCCTCACTCCTATGTGATGTGCCCAGTAGGGCAATGGGCACCCTCCTGGCACAGCATAGACCCCACATCTCCATCTGTGCATCCCCAAGCAGCACCTAAGCATAGTACCTGTGGGGTGAACTGGGCCACACAGCAGGCTGGCACTGCCCTGCACCTGCCCACCAGCTTCCAGCTGGCTCTTGGAGCCCCAGACAGTCCCATAGTGCCTGGGCTCTCCAGGCTGGGGGTGGCACATTCCTGCCCCCAAGCCAGGACCAGATTCCAGCCCCACTAACAAGGCTCTGGGATCGTGGCCACCAGGCACCCACTAACTGCTCTGATGACAGCAGTGGGGCCAGGGGGGCACAGCCAGTGCTTGCCCACTGTGGCTGCAGGGCTGTGCCAAGGGAACACCGGCCTTGGCTGCACGCCCTGATGTAGCACCGGGCTGCCAAGGCTGAGATCCCCTCTGGTCACACAGGGGCACCCAGGGCAGGYGGGGGCTGTGGGCAGGGCACAGGCTGACCCTTGGTGTCCACTCCAGCAGACAGCACGGGAAGGGCCGAGGGTGCTGCGCCAGCAGAGCCTGGGGACCCCGACAGCAGTGAGTCTGGAGCCATCAGCCTGCGCCCCGTGGAGTCCATCAGCGACCTGCACTGGGCCTCRGGCGGGCACAAGGGCACAGAGGGTGAGAGCACTGCAGGGGGGCTGTGTTAGCCCTGGCTGTGCCCATGGCCAGGCTCTGACCCCTTCTCTCCCCTGCCTGCAGGCAATGGCCCAGCTCCCTCCAGCAGCCTGCGCCGGCCCCCACCTCGGCCCGTGTCCCCTGTGCCCCCGCCGCTGCTACCCACCCTGCGACCCGTGCCCCCAGCCAGCCCCTGCCCCTGCCTCGGCCCTGGCCACCCTCTGCTGCTGGCCCTGCTGGCACTCCTGGCACTGTCAAGCCTGGTCCTGGCCACACTGGCCATCTACTTGAGTGGTACGTGGCACTGGGCAGGGTGGGGGGACAGGGAACTACGGGGGGCCAAGCTGCCCACCCCCAGCGTGTCCCCATCCTCTCCCCGCAGTCCTGCAGAGCCAGTCGGTGCGGGCACTGGCCCAGTGGCTGGAGAGCCAGGAGGACGCCGTGCACCAGCTGCGGGCAGCCAGCAGGCAGCTCTGGGCTCGCCTCAACGCCAGTGCCCAGCCTGGTGGGCACCGCTGAGCTGCCCCTGGCCCCACCATGGGCTTTAGGCCACCATGGGAAGGGGCACCGAAGGGCAGGAGGGGGAAGTGGGCAGCCTTACCCAGAGACCTGGCAGCATCGCCCCTCAGGACAAAAGGGCAATCCCGGCCCCTGTCCCAGGCTGTGAGAGAGRGACAGGGCAGTAAGGACCTGCATCCACCCCAGTGACAGCCCTTCCTCTTAACAAGGCAGAAGGCATACTTCAGTTAGCCTTTAATTACCTCTTACAATCAAAGTCTTAGAAAATCACCATGATAGATACATTCCCAGGGTGGCAGGCACTGCCAACTGGCATYGCCTCATGCCCGCCTGGACAGTGCCCCACCCTCGTAATTAATTTCCCACAAGATTACTATTTCATATAAAGCATTTGGCTGGAAAAGGGCGGAGAGTGGGCAGCTACAGCTTGCCACTCCACACCGCTCTGCCACCATTCCTGGTGCCAGGCTGGCTGTGGAGGCAGGGGCTGTACCCAGCATGGCAGCGGGSAGAGCTCTCCTGTCACAGGCAGAGACACCAGGACGGCTGCAGAGACACCCTGCACGGCTCAGCTCTCCCACCCACCCTTCAGGTTGTGCCAGACCATCCTGGTGCCCCTGCAGGACTGGGAGGGGGTAYACCAGCCCTGCCCCTGAAAGGGGCAGCAGCAGCTTGGGTGAGACCCCCTCCCACTGTGCCATATGGATTCCCAGCCACAGAGCAGGCACACGGCAGCACGCCACCACCTCCCCCTGCTTGTCTTTAATCCTTCCTATTTTTTGGTTAAAAAAATAAAGGAGGGGGCAGCCCCTGGTGGGGCAGCTCCAGGCATTAAATACTCTGCTGTACATGAATAAAAGCCCGAGGGCCGGGGACACCTGCCCCTCACAGTGCTGGGTCTGCAGTCCAGGTTGGCTGGGGGCTCTGCCCCCTTGTGCCTGTCACAGCACATCCGCCCGCTTGTCCCGCACACGGCTCCGTGCTTTCGTGCGGGCTTTGAAGGCAGCCGAGTTGTAGAGGTGCTGGAAGGAGAGGCAAGGAGAGAGGGGTTAGGGATGCCCCTCTGCCCACCTCCCTGCCAGCACCTACCACACTCAGCTGGAGCCCGTGAAGGCACAGGAGGGGACTGTGGGCACAAATCTGGGAGGTGGCACCCACCTTCTCGAAACGGGAGACCTTGCTGGCTTTCAGAGCAGCCGCATCCAGCACCAAGGGGGGCCCAAGGCCGAAGATCTCCCGTAGCAGCTCATTGTTCTGTGGAAGCAGAGGGTCTGTCAACACCCACCAGCACCAGCCCAGMACTTCCTGGTGAATCTGCACAGCCCCTACCTGGAGGTGGTGGCGGATGCCGGAGCCCAGCACCTCCTTAAAGGCTTGGTAGGTGCGCTGGCGTGCCCAGCTGTCCAGGTACATGGACTCCAGGCCAAATCGGATGGTCTCCTCCTGGTACTCCCCACTCTGAGCAGAGAGAGGGGTGTCAACAGTAACCTGGGCACCACAGAGAGCCCTGTGTGTCCCCTGGCTCCCCACAGAGAAGAATCACCAGGGAAGCAGCCACACAGCGAAGGGCTCGGCACCACCASGCTCCGGTACCTCGATGAAACGCAGGATATCCCGGAAGATGGATCGCTGCTTCCGTCTGTCTGTCTTGGCTCGGTACTTGTTGCTCTCGGTAGCCAGGACCTTGAGTTGGGCACACAGGAACCCTGTATCTTGGTGGCACAAGTCCTCCTGCCAAAAAGCAGATTTAGAGGGATGGGCTCCAAGCACTGCCCACTGCCATGGCCAGGACAGGGCTGGGCTGGGGGTCACTGGGGCCAGCCCCCCTGCCCTGCTGGTGACACTGATCAATGCCAGCTCAGGTGGGGCATGGGCAGGGTGTCACAGCAGCTCCCTCCCTGCTGCCCAGTTACTGACCACTGCTGCTCCCGTCGCCACAGCCCCTACTGTACCTCCAGGTCCTGGGCCAGCTCRAAGAGCAGTGCGATGGTTTCCCCGGCCAGGATGCGCAGGGCAACGCTGCTGCTGGTCAGCAGTGGGGGCAGCTGCAGCCAGCGACTGCGACAGGGAGGCAGGAGAGCAGTCAGGGAGGCCAAGCACTGCCCCAGAAGCTCCTTGCTCCACAGCTGGCTGCCCCACACCAGCCTCCACTCACCCCACACCCCACTCACTTGTCCAAAATGCTCCTGAGGTGGGAGGGGGGGCAGATGGTGAGGAGCAGGGACCACGACTGGAGCGCGCTGCAGTGTAGAGGCCCGTGCTGAGTGGGTGCTGAGCCCCCTTCGCCTGTGCTGGGGGTGCTGAAGATGCCCTCCAAGCAGGACAGGCATGAAATCAGGTCCTGGAGGGGAGAAACTCACCAGTCAGACCACAGCTCCCGTGAAGGTATCATGGTGAGATGTGCACTGGGGACCAAAGGGGACCCACTGTGTCAAGGAGTGCCAGGAACCCCTCGGGGCAGGAGAGACTGCTCCACCCACAACACCCCATCTTTGWAGTGCAGGCCTCCCCCAGCTCAGCTCCACACTGCCCAGGGAAGGGGTCTGGGCTGTCACTGATATCCCCGTACCCCTACCCCAGCTCAGCTCCAGGCTGCCCTGGCACCGTGGGCTGAGGGCAGGTGGCACAGCAAGCCCATGGGTRCCCTCCTGCAGGGGTACGGACGACACCCAGGCGCAGTTACCTCGAGGTCAGCAGCAGCAATGTAGCAGCACATGCCCAGGGCTGTGGCACACTGGCAAGAGAAGTGAGGGAAGGGCAGTCAGAGAAGGCAGTGCCGTGCCAGATCCAGCGCCCAGCCAAGGGAGAAGCCAGGTTGGGATGTCCCTGCTTTGCCCCGCCACACTCCATAGCACCCCATCCTGTCACCCTCCCGGGACTGCAGGGGGCCCCGAAGGCATTGCCTGGGCTCTCCCCATCACGGATGTGTCCCCAGGAGGAAAGGGGCCAGGCCTTACGCTCTGCCGGGCACTGGGGCTGGCTGTGCTGTCTGTCAGGACGCTGATGAGAAGGGGCTTCAGGCTGCGGAACAGCTCTTCTCCCTCCGGGCCAGAGCCCATCTGGAGGCACAGGAGGGTGAGGACGGTGCCGGCCAGCGCCTGTTCCTCCCCTTTACCTGTGGGCAGATGAGAGACCTCCCTGATACACGGGTCACCGGCCTCGCCACCCTGCACCCGCCTGCGCCCTGCACCCTGACCTTTCTTGAGACACTTCTCCAGGGAGTCGGTGAGCGTGAGGCGGCGCTCCAGCAGGAACTCGGACAGCGTTTTGGAGGACAGGGCCAGGCGCAGGCTCTGCAGTGCCGCCTGCCGCGCCTTGGCGCTGCGAGAGACGCGGGACGTCACGGCCCGGGGTGTCCCGGGACAGGGCACGTCCCGGCCCCCGGCTGGCAGCGCCGGCAGGGGCAGGCAGCGTGCCAGGAGTGCCCACGGGCGTGACAGCCACTCCTCACCTCTTATCCAGGAGGTTGTCCATGTGCTCTTTCAGCCTATCCTCTACCTCCTCCTCCTGGCCTTGCTCACTCGCCGCCTCGCTCCCTGCCCGGGCGGCACCACGTGAAGCCGGGAAGCCCGCGGGTAGGGSACACCGGGACCCACGTGGGGGTCACCATAGGGTCCGGGGGCTCACCTGGTCCCTCGTCTGCGGGGCTGGCGCTCTCGCTGGCGCTGCTGCAGTGGCTCAGCACCTCGCTGCCGGCCTCTTCCTCGCTGCCGGGTGAACTCGCTCGGGCGCTGCCGGTGCCGCCTGCGGAGGTGCGGGGCAGAGCCGTGTCAGCCCGGTGCTGTCAGCCCGGCGCTGTCACCCCATCCGTGTCACACGCGATCCCCGGTCCCCCCGCCCGGGTCCCCCCACTCACGGCGCGCGGCGCGGCGGGAACGCGGCATGGCCGGAGCGCGCGGACCCCGCGCCCCGCCCCCAGCCCCGCCCCCTG